CGCTCGTCACGCCGAAGACCCGGGTTCGATTCCCGACATGGGTACAAAGCCCATGTCTGGTGTCCCCCGCCATGATATTGCTAGGATATTTCTAAAAGCGGCATAAAATCATACACACTCACTCTATGGACGGTCTTGACAAAATTGTTCGTACACTGTAAGCACATTGAACAATATATAGAGCCAGTTTGTACATAGCATCACAATTATATATTTTCAGTTCTCAACAAATTAATGTTTGCCCTCAGTATACATTTATCAACATAAATGTTTATCTCAGCGCTAGCACAAGTGCCTTATTTGCTTCGCTTTGAAGAACCTATCTCCCTACAGATCTACCATCGTGTGTTAATCTATTGATCTATTTAACAATGATCTATTTTTGGGGAACAATATGATTATTGACAGAAACCAAACGTAAAAACAATGGTAGGATCATAAATGGTTTCAAATTGATTATGATTGACATTTCCATATCACGACTTAAAAAATGCGAGATCAGGACATCGTTTCTCGGCTTTGGGGCAGCATCACAACTAAAGTGCGATTGTTTCCAGGGATAAGATTTAAGGCAGTGGAGATTCTCTGTAAATGATGTCCTTTCTCTGATCTAGCACTGGAAGTTTTATCTAAATAATTTGAATGTGTATCACATTTGGACAAAGGGGTTTGCTGTCACATAACAATGGCCAAGTGATAACATTTTCTATGTAAACTTCTGTTACATGGATTTATTACTTGCCTCAGTGATAAATTTTAAAAAAAGAGGTAAAATAAAATAAATAAATTTGACTTTCATTAGAGTTGTAATGTGATGAGACATGACAGAGAAGGCAGACTACTGAGCTGCACTTTGATGAGACTGGTAGACCAATGGTTGGTAGTGAGGTGAGACTGGCAGACCAATGGTTGGTAGTTTGGCGAGACAGGCAGACCAATGGTCGGTAGTGAGGTGAGACTGGCAGACCAATGGTTGGTAGTGTGGTGAGACTGGCAGACCAATGGTTGGTAGTTTGGCGAGACAGGCAGACCAATGGTCGGTAGTGAGGTGAGACTGGCAGACCAATGGTTGGTAGTGTGGTGAGACTGGCAGACCAATGGTTGGTAGTTTGGCGAGACAGGCAGACCAATGGTCGGTAGTGAGGTGAGACAGGCAGACCAATGGTCGGTAGTGAGGTGAGACTGGCAGACCAATGGTTGGTAGTGTGGTGTGACTGGTAGACCAATGGTTGATAGTGTGGCGAGACAGGCAGACCAATGGTTGGTAGTTTGGCGAGACAGGCAGACCAATGGTTGGTAGTTTGGCGAGACAGGCAGACCAATGGTCGGTAGTGTGGTGTGACTGGTAGACCGATGGTTGGTAGTGTGGCGAGACAGGCAGACCAATGGTTGGTAGTGTGGTGAGACCATCTTCCCGAGGCAAGAGTGTTAACTGACTTTAAAAGTCCAGTTTCCACCCTTGCCGAACTTGGCTGGAATTCCTGGGCTCGATCGTAGCGCCACCAGTGGCTATTACGAGTTATGTCCTTTCTATGGCTCTCCTATTGACCAATCAGATTCAAACTCTCGTATCACTTGCATTTGCTTCAAACAAAACGGTGGCGCCCAGTCAAGACGATCTGATCGATAATCAAGATCTATATTGTGATTAAACGAGTCTTACATCGCGAAGTGCATCAAATCACGTGAGCACCTTGATTAAAAACATGAAAAGATTTAGAAAATATCTGTCGACAACGAGTTAGCGGTGCACATGCTTTGCAAATCCTGCAGTCGACCGAAATCTGCATGACACTTTACGAACCGGATTTCGATATCGGTGCGCGATTTTGATTTGACTAAGCATAGACTCGTTAGTCCAGCCAAAATGTAACTCCATAATACCAGCCTAGTTCGGCAAGGGTGGAAACTGGACTTTTATAGTCAGTTAACTCACTTGCCTCGGGAAGATGGGTGAGACTGGCAGACCAATGGTTGTTAGTGTGGTGTGACTGGCCGTACTGGCAGAGCAATGGTTGGTAGTGAGGTGAGACTGGTAGACCAATAGTCGGTAGTGTGGGTAGACTGGTAGACCAATGGTTGGTAGTGAGGTGAGACTGGTAGACCAGTGGTCGGTAGTGTGGTGAGAGTGGTAGACCAATGGTCGGTAGTGAGGTGAGACTGGCAGACCAATGGTTGGTAGTTTGGCGAGACAGGCAGACCAATGGTCGGTAGTGAGGTGAGACTGGCAGAGCAATGGTCTGTAGTGTGGTGTGACTGGTAGACCAATGGTTGGTAGTGTGGCGAGACAGGCAGACCAATGGTCGGTAGTGAGGTGAGACTGGCAGAGCAATGGTCGGTAGTGAGGTGAGACTTGTAGACCAATGGTTGGTAGTGTGGCGAGACAGTCAGACCGATGGTCGGTAGTGAGGTGAGACTGGCAGACCAATGGTTGGTAGTGTGGTGAGACTGGCAGACCGTTGGTTGGTAGTGTTTTGTGACTGGTAGACCAATGGTTGGTAGTGTGGCGAGACAGGCAGACCAATGGTCGGTAGTGAGGTGAGACGGGCAGACCAATGGTTGGTAGTGTTGTGAGACTGGCAGAGCAATGGTCGGTAGTGAGGTGAGACTGGTAGACCAATGGTTGGTAGTTTGGCGAGACAGGCAGACCAATGGTTGGTAGTGTGGTGAGACTGGCAGTACTGGCAGAGCAATGGTCGGTAGTGAGGTGAGACTGGTAGACCATAGTCGGTAGTGAGGTGAGACTGGTACACCAATGGTCGGTAGTGAGGTGAGAGTGGTAGACCAATGGTCGGTAGTGAGGTGAGACTGGCAGACCAATGGTTGGTAGTGAGGCGCAACTGGTAGACCAATGATGGTATTGTGGTGAGACTGGTAGACAAATGATGGTATTGTGGTGAGACTGGCAGACCAATGGTTGGTAGTGTAGCGAGACTGGCAGACCAATGGTCGGTAGTGAGGTGAGACTGGTAGACCAATGATGGTATTGTGGTGAGACTGGCAGACCAATGGTCGGTAGTGAGGTGAGACTGGTAGACCAATGATGGTATTGTGGTGAGACTGGCAGACCAATGGTTGGTAGTGTGGCAAGACTGGTAGACCAATGGTTGGTATTTAGGTGAGACTGGCAGACCAATGGTCGGTAGTGTGGTGAGATAGGCAGACCAATGGTTGGTAGTGAGGTGAGACTGGCAGACCAATGTTTGGGTGTGTGGTGAGACTGGTAGACCAATGGTCGGGAGTGCAGTGAGACTGATAGACCAATGGTCTGTATTGTGGTGAGACTGGTAGACCAATGGTTAGTAGTGTGGTGAGACTGGTAGACCAGTGGTCGGTAGTGTGGTGAGACTGGTAGACCAGTGGTCGGTAGTGTGGTGAGAATGGTAGACCAGTGGTCGGTAGTGTGGTGAGACTGGCAGACCAATGGTTGGTAGTGTGGTGAGACTGGTAGACCAATGGTCTGTAGTGTGGTGAGACTGGCAGACCAATGGTTGGTAGTTTGGTGAGACTGGCAGACCAATGGTCGGTAGTGTGGTGTGACTGGCCGTTTTGGCAGAGCAATGGTCGGTAGTAGGTGAGACTGGTAGACCAATGTTTGGTGAGGTGAGGTGAAATGGGGTTTAATGTCGCGTCCAAGATTATTGCACTTATATAGCGACGTGCATGTACTTGTGTGTGTGTGGCTGCTTGTACTAGTCCGGACTGATGCCGATTTATAGTGCTAGATCACTGAGATACCATGCCGCAGTTTAACATGAATACCCCGCTCAGACACAGTATACTGACTCCGAGCCGACCAGTCCTTGTTTTAGCCCCTTAATGCCGAGCTCCAGACAGGGTAACAACAAGTACCATCTTTTAACGTCTTTTGGTATGACGCGGCCGGGGATCGAACCCCGGACCTTCCGCTCTCCGGGCGGACGCTCTACCACTAGACCACGGAGGCGGTCAATGTTTGGTAGTGTGATGAGACTGGTAGACCAATAATTGGTAGTGAGGTGAGACAGGCAGACCAATGGTTGGTAGTGTGGTGAGACTTGCAGACCAATGGTTGGTAGTGTGGTGTGACTGGTAGACCAATGGTTGGTAGTGTGGTGAGACTGGCAGACCAATGGTTGGTAGTGTGGTGAGACTTGCAGACCAATGGTCGGTAGTGAGGTGAGACTGGCAGACCAATGGTTGGTAGTGTGGTGAGACTGTTCAACCAATAGTTTATGGTGATGAGACTGGTCAGAGCAGGAAAACAAATGATCTACAGCGTGACGGTGCAAAAGACAAATTCAAGAATTGGAAGATAATCAATGTCATGGGCGGATACAGCTTTTTTGAAAAGGGGTGGTGGTGCATAATTAAGGTCTATTTAATGTCTTTGGTGGTAATTTATACAGAAATAAAAAGGGGGGTGCGCATCCCCCCTCTGTATCCGCCCATGAATGTTCTTGAACACCATGAGATCCGAGCTGTTAACACACTCAACAAAGTATAAAAACCAAGCTGTACTTGTGTTGAATGAGTGAGTGAGTGAGTGGGAAAATTAAGCAATATTTCAGCAATATCAACTGGCAACAAGAAGAATGGGCACAGATTCACATCCCGATCATTGAAATAATGACAAAATTTAACCAGAAGGTTCCCTGAGGACAGAGGGTTTTACTGCATCAGGAAAATATTTGTTCTGACTTGGCAGATTTGACAGGACGTACTATCCCCTTGTTGAAATACATTTCAGTAACAGCTTTGATTCATGAACAATACTTCAACTTTACCTTTGGTAATGTCGACAACACTACCAGATTCTGAATAACAATTGTTTCCCTCATGAAGAAATGGCAAGTGCTTTCGTAAACAGCAGGCAATAATTAGTATAAATGGTGTTATCTACCACTGACAATGTGATTTGATCATCCAGTCTCCAATAATAATCAAACACAGAAGGCAATGTGTCACATTCATTCTAAATATCCAGTACAAATGGAGTGAAAAAAACAAAACAAAGTCTATTAATAGCACATAGTTTATATCATTGATAAACCACATACATACATATACACATATATTTACATACACATGACAAACCATGTTGTTATCTGTTGAACGAAGACTATACCCCTGACAGTATGCAATGAAGCGGATACAGAGGAAACGGGTTTCACAAGGCTCCGGGACTGTTCATGTCATCCTCGGGGGGTGGTGGGGGGCTGGGATATTACCTAAAATATAATCTAGTCTGAAAGGGGAAAAACATAACTTCTGCACAAAAAATAAACTTCTAGATGATGGAAGGGATTTTGGTGTGTAATGGATGCCCAAACTAATGTCAGGTTGAAATAATAACAACAAAAGAGAAGTATTTTCTTGAACAAAAATCCCAAGGCTACCCCTTCCTATTAATCAAAAAAATTTGAGGTTTGTATAACAGCTTTTACATATTACCCTGAAAATTTAAACATATGAACATTTGTGACAGTGTATCTTGGGAGTATGCATACACTACTTGTAACAGAGGTCAAATATTCCAAAGTGTCACCGTTATCTAGCTCAGATTTCATTCTTTTTCAAACTTTCCTGCACACATACAGTAAGGTCTTGAAATTTTAGTGGCATTAAATATATCATGCACAAGCAAGTGAACACCAGACTGCCAAAATTAATATTTTTTCTCTCCATGCTACAAGAATATACTAAATGAGGTAGCAATTCACAGCTGAGACGAACTTATGTCAATAAATATTTCATAATTTTACAAACCAAGAAATACAAAATGTCAAACTCCAGTTAGATCCACCAACATCAATGGGTCAAACAGGATGGCATGAAGGAATCAAACATATCATGGCAACTAATTTCTTATGGTTTTGGGTCAAACTCAAGTCAAACATGATCAAAACTCAAAGTTGCAGTCTGCTAACTGTAACATAATGTTAAATGCGAAAACAGGCCAAAGATATTGGTAATGTTGGTACTCTACTCATAAGAGAATAACTAACAACTGAAACAGAGCAACTAATATTGATGAAAGGAACTAATATCATACACTGACTAAAATCTCAATTTTGTCACAAATAAATACAAATTATATCCATTACACAATTATCCACAGTTTATACCGTTCAAATTATCTTGACATTAAACCAGTGAGTCTACAATACTAATTACAATTAAATACATTTAATTTTTACTGTAGTAATATTCCCTGAAGCATCAATAGTTTAAATACATTGTGTACAGAACAAAGGAAAATACCAGACAAACATCATCAAATGGAATATGATACAGTCAGGCATAATTAATCCCTTGGGCAGTCGATCAACTTCCGCAGCATGTCCTTGGATGAAGCGATGGGTTGTATTCAAGTAAAACATGCTCTGTTTTATCGACAGACGTAAGCATGGTAAGCAACCGGACAGGCACATCTACTTGTGCTCAAGAGTCAATGTCAAGGCTTATACATGTTGGATTTAGCAATTTGAAAGCCTTGTTAGGGGTGTAACATTATTGTATTACAATCAACATCACTGATATGCATCCTTTTACAAGACTCAGATGACACATAGTGATGTTATGATGAATGATTAAAAAAAAAGATTTACTAGTTGCACCAAAAATAAGTACTTTATGGATACATTGTCAGGAAAAAACAGGAAACAGTTTTTGAATAACATTCTGTAATTTGAAATTATGATGAAAATGGGCACTGACATGTTGGGAAAACATATGAAACGGAACCAATTATGATGAATTAGTTATGACAAAAAGATTATGATCAATAATCCTCAATGAAATCCCAACAAAACTGCAAATAATGACTGGATGTATGTGAAAAATTATGAATACTAATTCCGACCTTAAAGACATGTTACTTCAGCTTACCCAAATACATGTTCTGCTGCAACCCATTGATACTGTTCCCCTAACAAATGGCAACTGTCACAAAGGTTATGTACAAGAGTGATCTCTATGTCCAACACTGTAAAGAAACATCACTCGTATGCGACATCAAACATAAACCTGGTACTTCGGTGCTCTTGTTGTTGAGAAGCAAGTCCTGATCAATATCACTGATTTTATACAGCACATGCTGTCATAGTCATGATTAAGACAGAAATCTTATATCAGCTAACAAAATAGCCACTGGCCTATCAATGCATCTTGGTAATACTAGGGTCCTTTTTATTGGATGGCTTAACTGGACACAGATAGATGAAAAGGCATGTTTGCTGCTGTCATTGATGTCTTGTATTTCATAGGATGAAACAGCTAGGAATCGTATTTTGAAAAAAAAGAAGCAAATATGTTTCTGAAACGATTGAGTAAGCCCTTCAAAGTTGACATACAAGGGACATATTCGAAAGAAACTAAAAGGCTAAAGTAACAATTTAGTAACATCCATATAACTCTTGGTTGAAAATTTGACATTTAAAATAATTATATAATCAATTTCAAAGACGTCTGTGAGTTAACTTAGTCTAACTCTCCTGCTCCTCTCCCGGGGTCCAGTTTCCACCAATATATACCCAGGTGAGAAGTAATATTTTAGATCACTTTTGTTTTTGCAATATTGCAGCAATATCACAGCAGGGACACATGCAGAGTGGTTCAAATAATGTTCAGGGATTTATCTAGGATTCAAAATAAAGGCTCTTATTTTCTTTATTTCAGAGACATATTAACATTGCATTCGATACAATAATGCAAAATTAATGTGAAAGTTTCTTCCTCTTCATTGGTCATGTTGTCAGTGAAATACAGGTCACCTGGACCAAGTCATCACACCATTAATAAACATTACCATGAAGTTTTCAATTTGGGATTTTTTCTGACATTTACAGCAGACTTGGAGCCAGAGATCGGCATTTAAGCAGGTCCATGATGGGCTTCTTTGCGACTGATGACTACGTTAACTACTAGACTAACCCATGCCCTCATAGATCATGATAGATGGCATCATAACAGGTCACATTATTTACTCCCTGAAATTATTTCTTCCAACCCTTCCATACATCTTGCTCAAAGGAATCCATGTGCGACACTTAACACAGGTATGGTGTACTACTGGAGAGAATAATTTTGGCGATGAAATTTCCTTCAGCAAGAGATGCTTGGGTTGTTGGAAAAGAAGAACCTGCCAGGTGCCAAACAAATGGAGTTCCGAGCAGACTTTTCGGTGTGGAACAAACTGAATACATTCACCAACTATATTTATATACAACTGCTGAAGACTGGGACTGTGTACTGCTGGTGGGGTCCCAAAATTACTTGCAGTTTTCACCCTTGACACATGGTATAAAATAGCCACAAAAAACAAACAGATCAAAATAATTCCACAGTAAATTTACATGAAATATGATAGGATGAAAGACAAGCTATTTCTTGGGATTGCAGCTACTTTATACCGTGAATCGAGGTCAGGGTTAGATTGCGACGGTCTGGTTTGGAGAACAATTTGGGATACACTAGTTATGACACCAGGACCGTAACTAAGTGACTAGTGTTTAGGAAGTTTATCACCGACAAAGATTGCTCCATGAAACAATATTCTCAAAAATATTGTTCCCAACAAATTCTTTCTAACATATATGACATATACTCATTTTAGAATCCTAACATCGTAAAAATACCCCTCAGTACTAGTAAGGGTAGTATATGATTTCAGCATTCGTAAATGGGTTTGAAAATACAAATAATTTGTACAACATTTAAGTTGACATACAATCATACCATCAGTATCATAACATATTTAAGTCTCTTTTTATGGAATCCTGAGGCAAATATACAAAGGTCTTACCATTCACCAATATGAAAGATTATGGTTAAACATTTCAAAGCCAACCATTAACTTCTAAATTGTTAATCTTTCAACCAAAGTGTTCAAACTGACATGTTAATCAAATCTGCAAGACACTTCTCCAATATGATTCTTTTCTAAAAGCAACGACAGAAGACATAGTTTGCAAAAAACAAAACGCATAGACACCTTACAAGAGTGGATCAACTTAAACATGCTGAAATTGTTACCATGGTTACTAAGCTGAAACAGTTAGCATGGTAACCATGTTGAAATTTACCATGGTAACCATGCTCAGGTGATCTGTACATGAGTAAAGTGCTTCACAAAGTCTGACTATATCATCCACAAACCTCATGGCAAGTTTAAACTTACAATCAGGCAAAGAGCTTCAGAGGGTGGCTTAAACAGAGGATTTGTCCATTCAGCACTGAGAAATAGAGCTGAATCCAACCCTCTTATCTAGCTCAGTTGTAGTGATGAATCTACAACCTTACTGTTCAAGGACAAATCCCCTCAAAGCCTCATCTTATCCTACAGATATTAATTGAATATTTTGGCAGTAATATCAGAAAAAGCTTCGTCTAAATGAACCAAATTGTACACTAATTCAAGCACGTGACTCCACATCAGTCCAGGAGCGCACAGACTTTCAATGACGAAAAACAGTCCAGAGTGACCATGACACCTCTTGTTCTCTACTTTGATTGATGCGGGTAATTGGCACAATATATAGCCACTCTATTCACTCGCGAGAAGTTTAATGGCTTCATGGGAAGTCACATTTACTGCACATTTTCCGCATTCAGAAGGTGCACTTCAGCATACATAACATCGACTCTCAGTCATCAACCCAAGCAACTCAAACATCCAAGGAACTATTTTACGTGGCGTAGCGTTTTGTCCACTGTCGTGCAATGCGGTCGTGCTCCTCGCGGTTGTTGGTGTATTGTTGGGCAATGCTGCCAACCAGGGGGTCGTTGGGGTTGCAGTCTGTTAACAAGGAACATACAGACAGCAGGACTTTAGAAATGGTAAGTGCTGGACTCCAGTTGTCCTTGAGTATATCCAAGCATATGGTGCCTTGACTGTTTATGTTGCAATGGTAGATGCGGGTACGGAATATCACCTGAAAGAAACAACAGCTTGTTTATCGACCAACCAGATATATTTGAAGACATAATTAAACATTCAAGTGACAATAAATCCCACCACTTAACCTTATATCATTCAACTGGTGTCATGTTACTTAATACCGACTGAATGTTGTTTAATGTCAGAGTTAGCCTCTGAAATGCATGCTTTCATAACAGATTTTGGATGGCTACCCACCTGCCCTACGCTTATCTCTTCACTTGTTAATACATTGGATTTATCCAAATTAATATTTGTTGAAATTGTCAGCTGTAAAATAGTTTTGTTGGTTTGTTGTTTAATGCCGCACTCAGCAATATTCCAGCAAAATGACAGCGGTCTGTAAATAATTGAGTCTGGACCAGACAATCGAGTGATTGACATCATGAGCATCGATCCATGCAATTGGGATCGATGACATGCATCAACCAAGTCAGCGGGCCTGACCATCCGATCCCGTTAGTTGCCTCTTACGACAAGCATAGTCACCGTTTACGGCAAGCATGAGTTCCCGGAGACCTATTCTATCCCGGATCTTCACGGGTCAGTTGTGAAATAGTACTGTGGTAAATCTTGTCTAGGTCATCTGAATGGCGACAAGGTTTATGATATTGAACACCAATCAGACTTGACCTGTTCCACAAAGCGATCATAGCGCCAAGATGATCATAGCGCCAAGGTGATCGTAGCTCCCATACTTTAACATAGACTTACGACAGTTGTAGTGCTACGATCGCTTTGTGTAACGGGGCCCTAATAACATTATGAGACGATTCTTCAGGTTTTACCTCCTATGTTGGAGGTTCAAACCCAAATAAAAAATGTTATACCTTAAACCACAGGGCCCAACCCATAATAAATTGTAATGCAGGTTAGTCTGCCTTATGCATGAATTCAAAACTTGACCTGACAACATCATAAGATGATACGTGATGTCTCATCGCCCATGTTGTCACAGATCACCAAACACACTCAATATGTATCATATATTAGGTAAGATCTAACCAGCATATCATCACTGAGTTAGTATTTTCAGTAATATCATATTGTGTCAGCAAAATCTGGGATTCAAACTCATGACCAGTAAAGTGTTGCACCTTTAACCACAGGGCCAACCCATAATAGATTGTAATGCAGGTTAATCTGCCTTATGTGTGAAATCAAAACAGGGTCTTAAGCAAATGTCCTAACCACTTGGCTACCAACCCAACCTCAACTTTTTATGAAGTTTGTCAACTGAAGATGTTCTTCACAACAATCAGCATACACAGGTACTTGAGAACTGAAATACTGTATTTATCCAGAAAATATCAATATTTCACTTGAGTGAAGAAAAACTGAATGTCAAAACTACTTTCAATCACCTCTATGACAATGGTTTTCAGAGCGAGTTCTTAAGGAAAAAACAAAAAAGAGAACATTTGTCTCTTCTTGTCAAACAACATGTTTATCTCATCTTGTGGCCTGACAATGTTGACATTTTCACATAGCTGTGTCACTCACAAAAAGATCAGAGATGATCTAAACATGTCATTTGACAAGATAACTCAAATATCCTGTTGAAAACAGTACTTTATGCAGCTGATGCACAGCTGTCAATACAAAGGGCACTGGACTCTAAATATGCTGTTTGATTCATTACAGTACATTATGATGTTTGTGAGACAGCTCAAATCACAAATGTCTGTGTGCCTGCATCATCTGATGCACAAGGAAAACAGTGGCATGAACTACTTGTCATCAAACACCACCAGGGGGTACGGGTGGCCCAGTCGTCTAAGGCGCCGCAATTCGCTGTGCAGAGTTGTGTCTCTTGGACACGCCAGAAACCTATGATTGTGGGTTTGAATCTCGGTTCGCCCCAATTATGTTTCTAGGCTTGTCAGCACCATACCCGTGCTCGTGGGTTTCACCGAAGTGGTAAACGTCTGAGACTTGCATCACTTCGGGCTTTCCTCCCACATTAAGCTGACACACCGTGATATAACTTGAATACTGTTATAAGCGGCGTTAATCCCAACTCACTCACTCAAACACTTACTCAACTTACATGACCTTTGAAGTGTCTTCCATGATCATGATGATAGTATTGAACCCACATAATATACTCCCTACTCAATAGACATTTTGATCATCTGATCCTCGTTTTGAGGCAAGGATGAGGTGCAAGAACACCTGGACTCCAGGACCTGACTACAATGCATGGCCTGTTACATTGCTGTAGGCAATCTGCTGATTATCAATACACTGTCATCATACACAAGGCCATAACACACTGTGGCTGATTGTTACAACACTCCAGCCTCAGTAAAAAACACTGAGTGTCATGTCACAAAGTGCTATTTCATAAACTATATAGCCTGATGCCATTATCCAACAGTGTAATCTCATACACCAGTCATAATAAAATCAAAGCTAACATTAGGCCCAACTACTGCCTGAAGCAACAGAATAGCCAATACTGACTAAACTATATTTGCTGACACTATCCCTTCTCATATTATAAACTGCATATAGTAAGACTGCATGGTATTGCTGGTACCTAGGTAAACCGTGATAAAAACTTTCAACAGAATGTATTGCGTTATGATCTACATGGGTTGGTATATTTAGAACATACGTGGGTAGGTGTATTTCTTTGGGTTATGGCCATAATGAAATAATTAACATCTTCCTCGTACAGCTAATCTCAGGTGAGCAATATTTCGAGTACACCAAAGCAAATTGTTGCTGTGTTTCCTCCTTGATTAAATGTTATCAATGGTGGCTGAGCCTCTCGACTACAAGAATGTTCCGATAAAAGGGGTAAAGCTGATATATGCCGCTATTTTGGGTCTTAAAAGGAAGGGAAGTTCAAAAGATGCAACTCCTTCTGTCGCTACTTCCTTCTGCAACTACATCCTTCTGTAACTACTTCTTTACTACCTCCTTCTGTAACTACTTCTTTACTACCTCATTCTGACCTCTTTCTGTAGCTACCTCTTTCTGTAACTACTTCTTTACTACCTCATTCTGACCTCTTTCTGTAACTACCTCTTTCTGTAGATACCTCCTTCTGCTACTACCTCCTGTAGATACCTCCTTCTGCTACTACCTCCTTCTGCTACTACCTCCTTCTGCAACTACCTCTTTCTGTAACTACCTCTTTACTACCTCATTCTGACTTCTTTCTGTAGCTACCTCTTTCTGTAGCTACCTCTTTCTGCAACTACCTCTTTCTGTAACTACCTCCTTCTGTAGATACCTCCTGTAGATACCTCCTTCTGCTACTACCTCCTTCTGCAACTACCTCTTTACTACCTCATTCTGCAACTACCTTTTTCTGCAACTACCTCTTTCTGCAACTACCTTTTTCTGCAACTACCTCTTTCTGCAACTACCTCTTTCTGTAACTACCTCCTTCTGCAACTACCTCCTTCTGCAACTACCTCTTTCTGTAGCTACCTCTTTCTGTAGCTACCCCTTTCTGCAACTACCTCTTTCTATAACTACTTCCTTCTGTAGATACCTTTTTCTGCAACTACCTCTATCTGCAACTACCTCTTTCTGTAACTACCTCCTTATGTAACTACTTCCTTTAGCAACTACCTCTTTCTGTAACTACTTCCTTCTGTAGATACCCCTTTCTGCAACTATCTTTTTCTGTAACTACCTCCTGCAACCACTTTCTGTAGCTTCTGCAACTACCTCTTTCTGTAACTACCTCTTTCTGTAACTACCTGCTTCTGCAACTACCTCTTTCTGTAGCTTCTGTAACTACCTCTTTCTGTAACTAACTCTTTCTGCAACTACCTCTGTCTGACCTCTTTCTGTAGCTGCCTCTTTCTGCAACTACGTCCTTTCATAACTACCTCTTTCTGCAACTACCTCCTTTCGTGACTACTTATTTCTGTAACTACCTCTTTCTGTAACTACCTCTTTCTGCAACTACCTCCTTTCGGGACTACCTTTTTCTGTAACTACTTCCTTCTGTAACTACCTCCTTCTGTAACTACCTTCTTCTGTAACTACCTCTTTCTGTAACTACCTTTCTGTAACTACTTCCTTCTGTAACTACCTCCTTCAGCAACTACTTCCTTCTGTAACTACCTTCTTCTGTAACTACTTCCTTCTGTAACTACCTCCTTCTGCAACTACCTCCTTTTGTCACCACCTCCTTCTGTAACTACCTCCTTCTGTAACTACCTCTTTCTGTAACTACCTTTCTGTAACTACTTCCTTCAGCAACTACTTCCTTCTGTAACTACCTTCTTCTGTAACTACTTCCTTCTGTAGCTACCTCCTTCTGTAACTACCTCCTTCTGTAACTACTTCCTTCTGTAGCTACCTCCTTCTGTAACTACCTCCTTCTGTAACTACCTCCTTCTGTAACTATCTCCTTCTGCAACTACCTCCTTCTGTAACTACCTCCTTCTGTAACTATCTCCTTCTGTAACTACCTCCTTCTGTAACTACCTCCTTCTGTAACTACCTCTTTCTGTAACTACCTCCTTCTGTAACTATCTCCTTCTGTAACTACCTCCTTCTGTAACTACCTCCTTCTGTAACTATCTCCTTCTGCAACTACCTCCTGTCACCACCTCTTTCTACAACTACCTCCTTCTGTCACCACCTCTTTCTACAACTACCTCCTTCTGTCACCACCTCTTTCTGTAGCTTCTGTAACTACCTCCTTCTGCAAATACCTCCTTTTGTCACCACCTCCTTCTGTAACTACCTCCTTCTGCAACTACCTCTTTCTGTAGCTTCTGTAACTACCTCTTTCTGCAACTACCTCCTTCTGTCACCACCACTTTCTACAACTACCTCCTTCTGTCACCACCTCTTTCTGTAGCTTCTGTAACTACCTCCTTCTGCAAATACCTCCTTTTGTCACCACCTCCTTCTGTAACTACCTCCTTCTGCAACTACCTCTTTCTGCAACTACCCCCTTCTGTCACCACCACTTTCTGCAACTACCTCCTTCTGTCACCACCACTTTCTGAAACTACCTCCTTCTGTCACCACCACTTTCTACAACTACCTCCTTCTGTCACCACCTCCTTCTGTCACCACCTCTTTCTGTAGCTTCTGTAACTACCTCTTTCTGCAACTACCTCCTTCTGTCACCACCACTTTCTACAACTACCTCCTTCTGTCACCACCACTTTCTACAACTACCTCCTTCTGTCACCACCTCTTTCTGTAGCTTCTGTAACTACCTGCTTCTGCAAATACCTCCTTTTGTCACCACCTCCTTCTGTAACTACCTCCTTCTGCAACTACCTCTTTCTGTAGCTTCTGTAACTACCTCTTTCTGCAACTACCTCCTTCTGTCACCACCACTTTCTGCAACTACCTCCTGTAACCACCTCTTTCTGCAACTACCTCCTGTCACCACCTGTAACTATGTCTTTCTGTAACTACGTCTTTCTGCTACTATGTCTTTCTGCAACTACCCCTTCCTGCAGCTACCTCTTTCTGGGGCTACCTCTTTCTTCAACTACTTCTACACCTACATCTACAGCTGTCACTCTCTGCAACTACCTCTGCATCCTTGTTCCTCTCTGCAACTTGCCACCTCTACATCACTCTCTGTAACTACCTATAAGCCCCTCTGAGCAACTACCTGTACATGACTTTCTGCAACCAACTCTACTTCACTCCTTCAACTACCTCTATGTCACTCCCTGCAGCTACTTCTACATCACATGAAGAATTGTGATCAGTGGGAATATTCGATCCGAACCCAAGGCTAGTGGATACTTGAACTGTGAAAATGGGCCTGCCTTAAACTGCTGGGCGGTCATTGTCCCTGTTAACAAATACCCCAGACTGCTAGCTAGATGTGTTTTGGCTCTGGGTTACATTACTATCAAAAGACCCAATCCATTAGCGATCAGCACATACTTATCTCATTGGTATATTTTTATGATCAGGGCCTATTTCCACATCAGTGATCAACTCAACGTCTACTTGATGGTCAGTTGTGCCCTTGTAGTGACCTACCTTTGGTGGCTTGAATGGATAGTCCTGAGTGAAATGTATATCCAGGAAGAAGACTCCTCCCTCGTAAACTGACCCCTTGGGTCCCAGGATGGTGGACACCCACTCATACAGGTTGTCTCCCTTTGGTCCAGCACTGCAACAGAAGGTCAAGGTCAGGTTAACCAGTTCAGAATCATAACTGTTTGCGTAATTAATGCTTAAGTAACATGTGATCAAGCAATGTCATTACATGTATGCTTTTTGCTAACATTTGTAAATAATAAAATGAAGCAAAAGGAAATAAAACAACTTATTTTGAAGGTTCTTAAATTCTCTAAAATGTTCTGGCTGGGTTGCTGTTTAATGTTACAACATTCCATGACACTGTTTATCTGGCCTGCATGAGCGACATCTCTTCTAGGATATTTGTGCTCAACTGATTTTGATGTGCAGAATTGTGTGACTTCACAGCCGTAAAAAGCAGTGTTAATGCTGATGCAGCTATAAACATTCACTCACTCACTAATGCTGACTGATTTGGTTAGCTTCTGTGTCAACATGTCAAACATGTTTTCTTATATTCAAATCCAACAATCTTTGCCACTGTTAATCATGCAAAAATGAGTCTTTCACGAGTAATAGCCTGTTCCTGTGATCTATGACCTACTGGATATTGACCAAATGACATGCTGTCAAAATTGACAAATATGGTATTCGGGAATGTCCATAAAGCACAATCAGGTCAAAATAATCAATATCAAGTAATCTGGAAAACAAAAGTATTACCAGGATGAGGACTGTTGGCCTGACAACTGAATACCACCATGCTTACTGCATGAGCTCTATCATCTCCAACAACTAATAAATACAGAAAACAAACCAGTTCATCAAAATGTCAACACACTTCTCAGGCAGCCTTCTGTCAACATGTCCCTAGCATTATTTTTTTATACTCCACCAAACTTCCAGGAATTCTTTTTTTCTCTATTTTACACCAGCAACTGCTGACAGCTCTCTATAATTCACTTCTGACACCTAATTGTATGGAAAAGGCAGGCTGATGATCAAAGTGGACTGATGACAAATCAAATCAATACCTCAATGGGTTTTTATTCATCACAATTGCTACACATCAGTGAAGCAGCACTTGTGGACAGCTGCCCCAGATTACAGCATCTGTCATTGATCTATCAGAACACAGTTTAACTTATTTAAAAGGTATCAAAAAAGAAAGGTTTCATACACACTTCATAGTGACAATATTTATTTTAACAACAGAATGTAAATGACAATGAGTACAATATCAACCAGAGCTGTTTGTGGAGACCGATAAGATTGTCTCTCTCAGAAATCAGAACAAAACGCTTCAATATTGGCAAAAGAGTGACTTTTGTTTGCTCTTGTGATTAAAGGCGCTTAATTCAATTCGCTTAAAGATCTGGCCCTTAATTCAAGCAGTACTCCATGAATCAGATATTTATTCAAACATCTATTTCACATGTTTAAATTTTGCCCCCAAATTCTATTCACTGTAGGTTGTAAACCCTTGACTACACTATGTTCTTAAAACTAAACCCAAAAAGAAAGAAAAAAGTATTGTTTTCATTATCTTCAATTCCATTACTTTCTTAAAGTACATCAATCTACTTAAACTTTCAAGAGAAAAATATTAAGGAGATATTCCAAGCCATATTTCAGCAGTATAATTTCACTGCACAAGGCACGCTAACCAGGGCTTGATAATGTGGGCACAAAGGTACAACATTCTCTCTCTCTCTCTCTCTCTCAACATGTTTAAATCAAAGATGACAGACTTCTGCAGCACAATATGTACTCATTTGTCCTCATGATTGTAACTGAGGTTGGTTGGCTGGTTTGTTGTTTAATGGCAATATTCCAGCTTTATGATGGTGGTCTGAAACTAAGAGTCTGGACCAGACAATCCAGTGATTGATATCATGAGCATCGATCCACACAATTGGAATCGATGACATGCATCAACCAAGCCAGCGAACCTGACAACCCGACCCGTTAAATGCCTCTTACCACAAGAGGTCTGTATGAGTCAAGTTTGTTTTGTTTTTTGGGGGGTTGTTTAACGCCGGCTATATGATGGCAGTCTGTAAATAATCAAGTCTGGACCAGACAATCCAGTGATTGACATCATGAGCATCGATCCACGCAAATTGGGATATGATGACATGCCTCAATCTAGTCAACGAGCCTGACCAACGGACCCGTTAGATGCCTCTTACCACAAATATAGTCACCTTTTACTGCAAGCATGGGTTGCTGAAGACCTATTCTACCCCGGATCTTCACAGGTCTATTAGTCAAGAAACGATGTTAGAAGTAACTTAAGTAACTATCCCCTACCAATGGTTGATAGTGAGAGCACCTGGGGCGCCATGACAGTCAGTCAGGGCACAGCAGGGACTTCAATTACAATCAAACCAAAACACACCAGACAAATGTGGATCACATCACATTAATTAAACCACTTGTAAATAGTCATTAATGTCTACTCAAAATACCCTAACCTGAAAATGTTAACTAAATCTGAGGACAATTTTATCCCTTACGAAGCCTTCCCAAAATTCCTTACACCTCAACTCACCAATAAGCACATAACTCTATTCATCAAAGCATTAGGACATATGTTCAGGTTCGGAGTAACAGATGCACTTTGATGGGGCCCTCAACGGGTTGGAGAAATATTGATTTTCCCCTTTTCTATAAAGAAATAAGCAAGGCTGACGTTGTGTGTTCCATGTCTGTATAAATATTTAAGCTGACAAGTCAATAGTTTCACTAGCCAGTCATACCCAGTCAGCCAAAAAAGCCATTTATGTCCTGAGGGTTGCAAAAGGTTTGAGATTCAGAGCCGGCTATTTCGTGAAAATCTGTACCAGTTAAAAGCAGCAGTGTTATACCCTCTAAGTTTAAGGTTTTCTCATTTAGGTGTATAAGTAAATTTATTAACAGACTTTGAAGGAATCATTTAATGATTATAAATCCAACTGAGCTACTACCAAATACACAATTATATTACAAAGAGACTGAAAAGTAAAAAAACATTGAATAATGTTTGAAACATCAGTAAACATTTAACTATATCAGATACTATCTTGTCAGAGCAAGCCATGCATTAAATAGTGTCAGAGTTGAATATCTTTTATCTGTCAACACTGTTTAGAATAGATATGCAGCAATTATGCATGCAACTGATATGCTTATGCCTTGAATAGCAGACTGTCAGCATAATGTCAGCTTAGATGTCTGTCGTGAATAGTAGGGTTGGTTGATCAAGCCTACAAGTGTAGACAGCCTCCACTTTCTCAAATGTTTGAGAGAATAAATATTTTGACTTGACACTTAAGCTGAATCAATAAAAATAACTGCTCTGGAATGACTGTGAAAAACAACCAGAGTGAATAAACATGCTAAAAGCAAAAATAAATGCCTTTGTCGGACTCGTTTAAGTTAAGTTTTTCAAATTAGAAATATGTTTTTCATGTTCATTTAGAATGGGTTAAATTTTTATATTGAAAGTCTGTTTCTTTGTTATTGAAGCGTGTTTAATTGAAAACACTTAACTAGTCATTTTAACACCCCTTCCCTCCCACGCTTTCTCTGCACTACAACACCTGCAACCTATTGCAAAATTCAACTTCAAACAGCTGTTGCAGGAAGATGACTGCACATGGAAAAGAAGTCATACAATATCTTGTCACATGTCCCCGTTTCATGACATTCCAATTTTGTCCTCACTGGATAACATGACATGATATATATAAGAAAGAATTATTACAGAGAGGCCATCACAAGAATGAAGGAAAAGATAGGCCATCACACAAGAATGAAGGAAAAGAGAGGCCATCACACAAGAATGAAGGAAAAGAGAGGCCATCACACAAGAATGAAGGAAAAGAAAGGCCATCACACAAGAATGAAGGAAAAGAGAGGCCATCACACAACAATGAAGGAAAAGAGAGGCCATCACACAACAATGAAGGAAAAGAGAGGCCATCACACAACAATGAAGGAAAAGAGAGGCCATCACACAAGAATGAAGGAAAAGAGAGGCCATCACACAACAATGAAGGAAAAGAGGCCATCACACAACAATGAAGGAAAAGAGAGGCCATCACACAACAATGAAGGAAAAGAGAGGCCATCACACAACAATGAAGGAAAAGAGAGGCCATCACACAACAATGAAGGAAAAGAGAGGCCATCACACAACAATGAAGGAAAAGAGAGGCCATCACACAACAATGAAGGAAAAGAGAGGCCATCACACAATGAAGGAAAAGAGAGGCCATCACACAACAATGAAGGAAAAGAGAGGCCATCACACAACAATGAAGGAAAAGAGAGGCCATCACACAACAATGAAGGAAAAGAACATCCATCACTCAATAATAATCAGAGAGGCCATCATCTCACAGCAAGGAATGATGACAGATAGAGGCTAACTCCCCTGTCACTCACTATCCCATTTGTTGCAATTATACAACTAACATGCAGTCTAATGAGCAATCAATGAGACACATAATAATAACACCTGCTTGAAGAGCCAGCCCAGCTTCCATATTGATCAGGGAAATATAGCAGGGTAAACATGTGCTCCGTCAACACATCAACTTCACTCAGCAGAGCCCAACAGGGAATGTTTCCGTTTATTGTAGTTTCTTTTGAAAAGTAAAAACAAACAGATCTAGCAAAGCTAGTTTTTATGTGGCGGCCTGAATCTGTCAGATAAAACCATGTAAGTTTCACTGTAGCTTTGGCAGAGCTTATCTCAGTTTAACAAACCATTGGTGGGAAGTTAATCGGACGTTATAATATCTATGGTAACTATAAAACAGTGCTGGAAATTGAGCCCGCATGTTGCTCTGATATCTGCAAAAGTCAGCTGAACAGATATATAAAATATATTTCTCTTTAATAATAGAGTTTCAGAAATGCTTCAAAATTGCTTATGTTGTGTTTGTTATATTTGTGTACAGATACTGTTGTTTCTGTGACTCCTAGATGCAGAAGATATCCTTTGGCGCTAATAAAAGATCATCTCATCTCAAACTGACTCGACAGTTTCAAGCTGCCCAAGTTTCAGACCAGAAATGCCTGAGTGAGGATTTACCTCACCCT